TGACTGAGGGTTTTCAGAAGATGGGATATTTATTTTGCTGGTTGAGTCTTTTTGTGGGATAGGACTCTGTGGAGCTGAGGATTCTGGATCAGTCTGAGGTGATCGGGCACAGGAACTTTCGACAGATGAAACTAGACTTTTAAGTTCCTCCTTCAACATTTCTCCTAGTGAATTTCCACTCAACATGGCAATTTCAGAGAGTTGTTCCATGTACATTTTAGTAGCTTTGCTTCTGGCTTCTACGGTGTAGACACTTCCTAAAGCTTTTAACTCATGCACAATCCCTGCTTGAGTCGTGCTTGGAACCTGAAGAGGCAACAGTGGTTCCAATGTCTTCATGGCAGTTTCATGTGCAAACTCAATAATCATGTTTTTATGGAAACCTGATTTAGGATCATCTAAGTGAATGTAATGGTTAATGGAATCATACTTCTGGAGAAATATTGATACTTCCTCATTTATTTCTGACCCTGTCAAGCCACTAACAACCAAAGAATGGGGAATTTGGATGGACTCCCGGAGTACCACATCCATTTTTTTTTTTTTTTTTTGAGAAGTACTTAGCAAGTTCTAACAATACGTGAAAGATGTCTGACACTTAAACACACACACTCGTGTTCCTGGCTGGCTCACCAAAGCTTCTCCTGTAACACAGTTGAGAAGGGTACAATATGTTTTAGGTAGATGGGCCAATAGGTTCGGCTGTCGGAGCACGATGGGTGTTTAAATAACACACATACACAGTTGAGTGAATTTTAAAAAAACAATTAGCTTTAGTAACGTGAATCATAAACTCACAAGTGGACAAGACATACAATTAAGAAAATAAAACTACACACAATAAAATACATAAAATAAAAACAACAATACTTGGCCAAGTGCTAAATATCAAATTTAAATCTATTGGGTGCACCCTGGTAGTTTGCGCTCTAATCTCTTTTAGATGACAAATGAATCAAATTAAATCCTGGTTCAGGTCTCACTCAACATGGGAGGAAATCCAGATCTTTCTAAGTCCAGGTGGGAAGGCTCGCCATCAAAGTCAGTAGAGGAATCCACTCCAGGAACAATCCAGGAGAAGAGAAGAAAAAGCAAAAAAAACAAAAACAACACAACAACAAAAAAAAAACCTGACCGATCTCAGTGCGGCACGTTCAAAACAACTAGACCGGGACTCTCATTCCAGACACGGAGGGCATCTGGCTCAGCTGTCTGATCAGGGTCGGATCTCCCGCTCACAGTCAACGCTGCCAGCACGGGAAAGAAGGTGGAGCCTCTGTGGCATTCCGCTCTCTGATTGGTCTAAACATTCATGGGAATCAAACTTCCCATTGGCCAGGCAGACTACCCCGCCTACCCAATCTCTATTTCCCTAAAGGCTATCCCCACTTTATGTGGGTTACATCTCCATCACAGCTTCCAGTTGCTTCAGGTGCATCAGGAAAGTATTTTATTGAATATTGTGACAGTTTCTGAAATTGAAAACTGAAACTGCTGCTTAAATGAAAATTGACAAGGGGGGGGGGGGGGAAAGAAGCATAATTTTTTTTCCCAGCTACAAATTGAATTAAACCATTTATGTGACGGTTTTGTCAGTTTTTCTTTGCATAAAGCTGGAGTTCAGTCAGATTGGATGGGAAATCGCTGTGAGCTCTCCTGACATAACCGTTCATTTCGATATGGGATTTGGCTGGGCCATTTAAAAAAAGAAATGCTGACTGTATGCTTAGGCATACGATGGTGTTCAAAAGTTACAACATAAATCTGATGGGTTGTGTGGGGAACAAATATCAACTAATCTTTGGAGGTTAGTTAATATTTCAGTCAGTCAAATATGTTGGAATTGTCTGGAGTTAAATGTGTCTCTCTAATTATGTACTGACATAATTATGTACTGAACCAAATGCAAACAGTTAAACTGTTTTTAACTGTTTGACTGCAGTTAAAAACAGAGAAAGTGAGACCCTGGCTATAACATCGAAACACAACAGCAACACTATGCAGCTGTTCTTCTTCTTCACCTTGTATTCTTCCCAAACAACAAGTTGGAACACTACCGCCACCTGCTGGTCATTCTCTGTAACCTTTAAATCAGTTGATCTTGGTTTGTCTTCATCTACCATCCAGGATTACCTCATATTTAGATCCTCCCCAGGTATATGCATAGGTCTGAAAATGACCCAGCTTGGACATTTTCAGTGGCACACATTGTGTTTGTGGTGGTCAAGCATGGTGGGATGGGTTTGAGATCCCCGGTTTTCTCATGGGTAAATCTTGCAACTTTATTTGTACTCAGCCCTGACTAGTTTTTTTTTTAATTAATTAATTTAATTAGTTCTTGTCATTTTCATCTTATTGAATAATTTTATATTTATATATTTATTTCTACTTATGGCATTAACTTAGCAAAATGTTACCTGTTCCCACATCAAAATATGTACAGTTAGGGCCAGAAATATTTGGACAGTAACACAATTTTCGTGAGTTGGGCTCTGCATGCCACCGCATTGGATTTGAAATGAAACCTCTACAACAGAATTCAAGTGCAGATTGTAACGTTTAATTTAAAGAGTTGAACAAAAATATCTGATAGAAAATGTAGGAATTGTACACATTTGTTTACAAACACTCCACATTTTAGGAGCTCAAAAGTAATTGGACATATAAACATAACCCAAACAAAAAAGTTTTTTCTCAATATTTTGTTGCGAATCCTTTGGAGGTAATCACTGCCTTAAGTCTGGAACCCATGGACATCACCAAACGCTGGGTTTCCTCCTTCTTAATGCTTTGCCAGGCCTTTACAGCCGCAGCCTTCAGGTCTTGCTTTAGTGGGTCTTTCCGTCTGAAGTCTGGATTTGAGCAAGTGAAATGCATGCTCAATTGGGTTAAGATCTGGTGATTGACTTGGCCATTGCAGAATATTCCACCTTTTTGCTCTCATGAACTCCTGTGTAGCTTTGGCTGTATGCTTGGGTCATTATCCATCTGTACTGTGAAGCGCCATCCAATCAACTTTGCAGCATTTGGCTGAATCTGGGCTGACAGTATATCCCGGTACACTTCAGAATTCATCCGGCTACTCTTGTCTGCGGTTATGTCATCAATAAACACAAGTGACCCAGTGCCATTGAAAGCCATGCATGCCCATGCCATCACGTTGCCTCCACCATGTTTTACAGAGGATGTAGTGTGCCTTGGATCATGTGCCGTTCCCTTTCTTCTCCAAACTTTTTTTTCCCATCATTCTGGTACAGGTTGATCTTTGTCTCATCTGTCCATAGAATACTTTTCCAGAACTGGGCTGGCTTCTTGAGGTGTTTTGGGCAAATTTAACTCTGGCCTGTCTACTTTTGGAATTGATGAATGGTTTGCATCTACATGTGAACGCTTTGTATTTGCTTTCATGGAGTCTTCTCTTTACTGTTGACTTAGAGACAGATACACCTACTTCTCTGAGAGTGTTCTGGACCTCAGTTGATGTTGTGAACGGGTTCTTCTTCACCAAAGAAAGTATGCGGCGATCATCCACCACTGTTGTCTTCCGTGGACGCCCAGGCCTTTTTGAGTTCCCAAGCTCACCAGTCAATTCCTTTTCCTCAGAATGTACCAGACTGTTGATTTTGCTACTCCAAGCATGTCTGCTATCTCTCTGATGGATTTTTTTCTTTTTTTCAGCCTCAGGATGTTCTGCTTCACCTCAATTAAGAGCTCCTTTGACCGCATGTTGTCTGGTCACAGCAACAGCTTCCAAATGCAAAACCACACACCTGGAAACAACCCCAGACCTTTTAACTACTTACTTGATTACAGGTTAACGAGGGAAAGGCCTTTTGAGTTACTTGCAGCCTTTAGAGTCCATTGTCCAATTACTTTTGGTCCCTTGAAAAAGAGGAGGCTCTGCATTACAGAGCTCTGATTCCTGAACCCTTTCTCCGATTTGGATGCGGAAACTCTAATATTGCAGCTGGGAGTGTGCACTTTCAGCCCATACTATATATAAATTGTATTTCTGAACATATTTTTGTCAACAGCTAAAATAACAAAACCTGTGTCACTGTCCAAATATTTCTGGCCCTAACTGTATATAATAATTAACAAACATAACGTAAGATTTGAAGTCATGCTTAATGTGCAATAGTTTACTACATTTCCAAACCCACTGGTGAAAATGAAGTGAGTTTTTTGTTCTTCTTCTGCTGAAACCTCAAAGAAAACTACTGGAACAGTTTGTGACAAACCTGAAGTTGTTTGACACAAAGAGTCAGAATGAGAATGATGCTTATTTTTATTTTAACAGATTGCAAAATTGAAAAGCAAATGCATTTTGAACATTTTTAGTTTTGATTTAATGAAGAAATGCATTAAAAGATGTTTCAGCTACAAAAATTTATGAAGTTGGAGCAACCATGATTACATTTCAGAAAATGAAACAAAACGAGTTTCTGCACAAATAAACTCTCGACTTGCTTCATAATTGCTTAATGCTGGTATTTTGCAAAATAATCAAGCAGAAGAACGTTATGATGTTAAATTCTAAATATCATATTTGTAAGTTTTTTTCTATCCCACTTTATTGTTGTGAAGCAAAATGCTTTTGGTCAGACTGAAGGGCACAAATAATTTGCAAAGGGGGAACAAATTGAAAATCTGAGAGTGTTTTTCTTGCGTTACACTTTTATTTTCAAATGTTCGGTCATGTTTTCATATATTTATTCGTTCTCCTGTGTTTTGTGGTAAAAAGTTGAGAAAAATGGACTTTAATTTGCAGGATCTGCTTACGTTCATCATAAAAACACATTGTGTGGAACTTGAATGTAACTTGACTGATGAGGAGTTGGTGGGTGGGGGGCAGGGGGCAGATCTGGGGGCTGTGAAGGTCTGTAGGGGCTGGAGAAGGGAGGGCCCTGAAGAGGAGGGAGGGGCCTGCTGGGAAGGGGTAAAAGCAGAAGCAAGAGGCCTGAGCCTCAGTACCTGATCAGTCACAGACTGGGAAGGAAGCAGCTTTTCCTGGATTTGAACAGAACTTTGGGAAGTCCAGGATAATGAAGCTGCTGCAAGAAACTGACGATGCAACAAGGAAAAGAAAGGTACCTCTGAGAATGCATGCAACTTTTGCAGCAATACTAACGTTTCTGGTTTTATTCACAGAGAACTAAATGTTAGAATGTTTAAATGAGATTCCCAAACTTGGGTCAATCCTCTTTTTGCTTCTTGCTTCCAGCTGATGAAATCTCAGGTGGAGAAACGTCGAAGGCAGAGAATGAATAGCAGTCTGGAACGTCTGAGGACCATGCTGCTGCAGGAGCCTCAACAAGTAAATAAGATTTAAAGTGGAAACATATTTAGTTTCTGTATACAGCACAAGAAAGGTCACGTTTTCTGCAGTGCTTGTTATTAAGTATATTTAACTGTCATTGCTGCAGGGAGGGACTCAGCAGAAGGTGGAGAAAGCTGAGATTCTGGAGCACACTGTTCTCTTCCTGCAAAGAAACGCCAAAGAACGCAGGGAAAAGATGGGAGGCCAGAAATACTCCTTCCAGGATGGGTTCTCCAGCTGCCTGCAGAGGGCGTCGCAGTTTCTGGGGCCTGAAGGGAAAGGCCTCTGGCTCGGACCGGTCCTGGACGCCACCTTCTCTGCCCGCTTCCCACGCTCACAAAGCCACTCCGCAGACACCCGCATCAGAACCGCCACCTCCATGACCCACACCAAGTCCCTGCTCCAGATGCTGAGGCTGAGGTCCAGGTCCGGTCAGCAGATGCAGGCCTCAGGGGCGAGCACCTCGGCTTGGCCGCGCAGATTCTCAGCCCAGCAGAGCTTCCCCACAATTCCCCAGCAGCCTCAGAAGCAAAGCGGGCTGGAGATGGGAGCGGAGAGGCCGGGGAGCAAAGAGAGCTCGTCCCAGAGCGGAACCCTCAGCCAGACTTTATGGAGACCTTGGCCTTGATCATCAGAACCCTCAGAACTCTCAATAACCGTCTGTCCCTCCATTAAAACTGCTTCTGTTTTCATGTTGCTCTCAAAAGAATATCCTAACTCTCATCTCTCTCTAAGCTCACACCTGAAATCCTGTAAATAATGTAAAATAAACCTCATAATTTGTATCTTTGCTGTAGTATTTTGGATAAGGTTGACTCCCTCCAGTAGCTCTGCCAGTGTGGCGGCCATGTTATCTGCTGGCGGGCACGCAGGGATTTTCGTGGACCAGGACTGGATCTGGATCCTCTGGGTCGATTGGCCGGCTGGCACCGCTGCTGTGCTGAAGAGCGACTGGAGAGGTGAGTATCCCTGACATCTGTCCTCCCCGCGCCTTTAACGACCAGACCTGTGTGATTAGAGTCAGTGATACTAGTGTGAATAATGATCGAGTGTCCGTCCGTCACATTTCCAGGTGTGGAACCTGGAGGTTTGAGTTTGAGAGAGAGCCCTCAGTTTTACCATCTAAGTGCCGTCATATGTGCCGGCATAAGAAAGTACAAAATAACACACACCCCGTCCCAAAGATATTCACGTTTATCTTGTGTGTTTTGGACACTAATTTATTCTGCTGGTCTCCCTATGGTGAGTATTATTCTGTTTTTGTTTTTTTTATATATATAAAGAAACCGATAAAACATTTGTTAAAATGTAAAAGGACATGTTAAGTGATTTTTTCCCCCTCTAACATGGAGGCCTTTTGTCTGCAGTGGCAGATCTCTTTAGTAGGTGTGAAGCAGGACTTCCCGCTCAGCTAAAACATCCAGGTGTGAAGTCTGTGCAATAAAAGCTCAGGAGAAGTCCTCACTTCAAGGACACTAGATAGTCTTCATTTTCTAATGATGAAGAATGACAAAAAATGTTACCATATATAGAGTCAACTAGAAAAACAAGTTAATATTTTCTTGTGACGAATCACTGTAGAAATAAAATCCATGTCAGTTTGTAGATGAGACCGTTCAATTTTAACATTTATAATGGATTAGTGTCATTGTTAAAGGCGTATAACATCAAAAATAGAATTATTAGTTGATTTTGGTTGATTTATAAATCCTCAGTTCACAATAAAAGCCGTAACTGCAGGAAAAAGCTAGTTCTACAAAGTGTTACGTTACAGATACTGAACTCAAATTCACCCCACACTTTTTAGATTTATATAAAATAAAAATAAAAAACACAAAAAAAACAAGTAGTAGTAAACTGTACAAAAGTGTTTGTGTCCTTACAAATTTGTCAGGTTTTTTTTTTTTTTTTTTTTGTCTCAGATGATCAAATAACTTCGATATCCAGGACACAGTTTCCAAATTATGGTTTGTTCATTAGGGAACAAATTCTGTCTGAATCAAACTAACCCTCGCATTAAATGCACTTATCTATTAAACGCCACAAAATAATGATCTTTTAAGTAGAATGAAAGTTTAAGTTTCCCTTTTTTTTTTAGCATATTTCTAAATTGAGTCAGCGTTCATTTAACTCATGTCTGGAAGTTGTCTTTCATCAGTTTTGAGGCGACTTTTGTTTCTAGTTAAAGGACTAAAAATACATTACAATGAATGGGAAACTATTGATAGTTTATAAGTCACTGAACGGCTTTGCACCAAAACATATTGAAAACCTGTTGTGCTCTAACTATGGATTCCGTTCTGCTGTGTCCCCAGAACAAACCAGAACCAAACATGGAGAAGCAGCTTTAATTTTTATGCTCCTCTAATCTAGAACAAACTTACAGAAAACTGGAAAACTGCTGAAACACTGAGTTCCCTTGCAATCCAGACAAAACCCTCTTTTGCTTAGAATTGCCTTTGATTAATAACATGAAGTGTAGCTGTTTGTATGTTTGTTTGTTGTTTTATTTTTCTTGTAATCTTGAAAAGAACTTTGAATTGTTCTGTTGGTGAAAATGTGTTAAATGAACTTTCCTTTTCTCATCTGAAAATGGCTTTGCAGCCCAAACTGTTAGATTTTGTTGATTTTGTTTCTCATCTGTTCTTGGATTTCTTTGGATGAGGATCTGATGTGTTGCCTTTTGCCTTCTTCATTTTGTCAGACAGATTCTTGATTTCTATATAGATCTAGTCAAGTTATCTTTCTCTGATTTTTTTTCTTTGAATCAAAAGATTTAAGAGTGACAAAAAACTAAATTGGGAATTTTTTTATTGTATTTTTTTCAAACGTTTATTCTATAAAAAAAGCTTTACTTTAATCTTTAATTAATTTTCTTTCTCTTAAGATAAATTTTCTAAATTGCAAAGTTAAGTTTAAATCTTTTTTGAAGCAGGCATCCTGTAAATGCTAATCCTGCTTATTATTATTCTCACTCTTGACTCATAATAAACATCTTAAACCCAAACAGCTTGTGTTTCATTATTCAACAACAGGGAACATCTATGTAGTAGAAACTGGTTCGGTTCTGATTCCACATTCAGGTCAAACATGTTGCTGAGCAGGAGAAAAGAGCACATTTCAGCACAAGGAGCATGAATTGCATTGTGAAAAATAAGAGTATATCTATTTATCTGCCAGCCAGTTTATCAGAGTCTATTCCCTTTATTTTGGGAGATCAGTGATTGGTTGATCTTATCCCCGATTTTATCTACTTCACCAAAGGTCTGAAATCCAACCACTGTCCTCTTCAAATGTGAAGAGGACAGTGGTTGGATTCTGCTCTGCAGTGAGCGGCTTGACTGATAGATCATCATTTTGCTTCCACTTGACAATTGTTCTTTGCTTGGTGATGAACTATGTCAAACCAATATTCATAGAATAGGAATAATAGTGATAAGGATCAGGGGGTGTGAATACTTTTTAAAGACAATATATAAAATAAATGTTATAAACTTGAATACATTTTCACAAACATTTAGTTTTCAAACCAACCTGCTAGTCTGTGTCTAATTAAAGTCAGCAAACATACTTTTAGATGTTTTGTCTTTATTTGCAAACGCATCAACGCATTTGATACCGACGTGTCAGTGGAAATGCTAAGCGGAAAAGCCTCCAGTGCGCATGCTCGCCTTTGTTTTCATGGTAATCAGCCTCCATCCTAACATCAGACGCGCTTTAAGGGTCCGTTTGTTTTCCACGCGTGTCTTTTGACAGCTGCATTTCAAAGGGCATGAAATGCAGCTCTGAGTTTGGTGGAGGTCAAACTAAAAGCTTTTCAGGCTTTATAGTTTGAAAAATCTACATGTAAACATTCCCATAATTGTGAAAGTTCACTATTGAATGTTGCACAGTAGACTATGATAAAAATCATGAAAGCGAAACTTTATTATGTGATATTTTTAAAATAAAAAGTTGAAGAAATAGCTACTAAAGATTGCTAAATCACTCCGGTTTTTCAGTATCATTCCTAGTTTTATTTTTCTTGGAAGTTTCTCCCGGAACCTTTTCCTGCTTTTTTTCTCGTGGGAAAGCGAAACACGAGCTTCAATTTGCGCTGCGATTACCTGTTGGAACTGACGCACACTTTACGCGCTCTGGTGCGAAATCAGGTTCCGCTTAGTGCACGTCTTCTATTAAACCTTTGGGAAAGTCTGTTCTGTCCTTCCCAACAAAATGTCTCTCATCTGGCTGCATTTTCACACCTCTGGTTTTAAAGAAGACAGTTTGTGTAAAGGCCTGCAGTGCTGACATTTGTTTGAGTTGAATCTGGGAACCAGATGGATTGTTTTTAAATGATTGATGAAATAAATGTCATTATTTGCGCACGGATGCGATTTGGCATCTCTTTTATTTTATGGAACAGTTTTAATTTATTTTCTGTTCTATTTTCATTTAGCGTTTTTATTCGATTTAAAAATTGAAGGGTCATTTTCATGCATATTACTTCATCGTTGTATGCAGAAAATCGGGTCATGTCCTCAGATAAAACTGTCTTTACAAAATTATTAGTAAATATGTTTCGGAAGAATGTGAAGATATAAAGAAAAACATTGAAGTTAATAAATAGTCAGAACAGCTGCCTTCCCTTCACAGTTGTAGGTAACTTTATGTTCTCGGTGCGTAAAAGGCAAAAGGCAGAAACACTGGAAGTGTGACAGTGGGAGCGTGTCCTGCAGCTCTGTTCTCATCGCGGGAATGAAGCTTCATCTTCACTTTTATTACCTGTTAAATCTGATGCATCACTGACAAAGTCTGTCTGCTGTGAAGAGACTTGAGCTCACGTTCCCACACCACGCACACGCGTGATACGAACGGTTTTTTTTTAATTCTGAAGGATAAAAAAATCTCTCCAAAGTTTTAACAACAACCTCAAGATTAGAAATGGCTGCCATCATGACACCGACTTGAAATCTGAAAGAAAGTAATTAAAACAACCGAAGAAAACAAACAAACAAACAAACAACCTGCAAGTACATAATGAAAACGATACTAATTGAGGAAAAATACATGCAAATTAATAACTTACTGATAACAATGAATTGAATATTATCATTAGTTTTATGATGGTATATCTAATGACTACAAGTTAAAAACAACAAAACTGATGAAGTCTATGCTACCTAACAAATGTTATCATGGTGAGGAGCTGAAGTGAAACGTTTTGTTTTCACTTCAGTGCCAGGGAAACAAAATCCTCACCTTTTGGTTTTACGCGCCACTGCAGATGTCTTTAAATCTCTTTTTCTTTGAATCTTGTTCAAGTATTACCTAGAAGAGGAACATATTAATTTAAAAAATTCGGATTTGATGTCACACTTCCTGTCGAAGTTATAAAAACCTTTTATTTTATTGAATGTTTTTCCAGATGCTTGGTTTGATGTCGTTGCATTTCTTGGAGATGTTCTTCAGGCCAGTCAGAACTGGGATCTTGTGAATAGAAGCCTCCAGTAGCAGGTTTCCTTAAAGATCTGAAGAATCGTCTCCATGTATCTCGGAGCTTCCCGCTGGGTTCACGGATGTTTGTCATGCATGTAAATCACTTCCGCACGAGTTTGTGACACCTGGGGGGCGCGTGCTGTTCACAGTTAGGGATACCTGGACACCACCAGCTCAACACTGGGCAGTGGTGGCCCAGTGTCAATCGGGGTCCTCCGGAGCGCCAGGTTGTGTGCATTCTTCCTCTTGATCTCTTCTCAGAAATCAATTCTCTGTTCAATTTAGTTTTATTCGATGGCAATGATCCACATTAAGCATCAATAAAGTCCAAACCGGGCAGTTCAAGAGCCTAAAACAGTTCAACCAGTTCTAAATACAGTTATAATCAGTAAAGAGCGCCTTACGTCCTTCAACTCTCTGCTCCTCTCCAGATGTGAGTTTGAGTGCATGAATTCAAAGCAAGAAGGAATAATCTGAAAACAGTCCGGTTACTTGGTTTTAAATGTAAAAACTAATAACTCCATGTTATGATTTTGTTAATCTCGATGTCTGGTTATTTGCTGGATGATGTCCATCCAAAAATATTCACTTCCTGGAAATACACTCTTTTATCTCAACTGCATTTGATTCAGTGATAACAAAACAGATACAATGAGATCCATTTCATTTTGTGCGTAAAATGTGCCATATCCGTGCGTAAAGTTGGTTCGCCTCTTGGTTGGACATGAAATAAGAACAACTGCCATTAAATCAGCAGTATAGAAATATGTTTCTTGCTTTTGGATCCACCAAAGCAAGAATCCTCAACCTTTAGCAGCAGTTCAACACATTTGCATGTCACCTGCCGGAGAATGCGCGTCGGGACGTGGGAAGGATTAGCACCTCTCTGTGCGCCAGACTTTTGTCAACGACCTACCAGTTTCAGCAGCTAATAAAGCTGTAAACGAGACGCTGTTTTCCCAGTTCCTATGATAAATTCACGTTTTTGTAATGATTGAAGGAGACCGAAATGTTCAGGCATGAACTCAAAATCAAACAATAGAGATGTTTGAAATCAAAACAGATTTTTATTGAATTTTCAGATGTTTGCGTTAGTGTTGTATAAGCAAATGCTAAAGAAATGAAATGCCTTGGTTGTGCTGAATCCTGATGGGTTGAGAGCCACCTGAGTTAAAGCAGCCCTGCAAAGAAAATAGATGAATTACATTATTTAATAATCAATTATTGTAGGGAGTTTTTGGAAGCCACATTCAAGCAGCATCAGCCTCTCAAAATGTTAAACAAGAACCTCTATTTACAAAAAGCTGTTTTAAAAATCCAAACCAGAAAATCTCCAGTCTGGCTGAATTTAACTAAAAAGCTGCAGAGGACATTTGGCCAAAACTTTTTCTCAATGAAGGATTCAATTAGAAACACAATAACAAAGTTGTTGTTTTGATTAGTCTCTGAAGGTGCAGGTATCATTACACCAGATCTCAGTAGTTTCTGTATAACTGAAGCTGCGTGCTGACTCTTGATCATTACTGTTTATGTTTAAAGATAATAACTCTTGTTTTGTTTCGGAGAAGATTATGGCACATCCACGTATTGATTATTGATTTTCTTGAAAGTTAAAGCTCTTCTAACATAAAGATAACCAAGTTATAGAATAATTGTCCAATAGTTTAATCAAGTTTTGTTCTTTATACTGTTGGAAAAACGTGTATAAGTTAATATAATAACTTTATTTATTTTATTTTATTTTTTTACTTTAAATATACTTTTTCTTTGAATCTTGTTCAAGTATTACCTGGTTGAGGAACACATTAATTTAAAAAATTCGGATTTGATGTCACACTTCCTGTCGAAGTTATAAAAACCTTTTATTTTATTGAATATTTTTCCAGATGCTCGGTTTGATGTTGCATTTCTTGGAGATGTTCTTCAGGCCAGTCAGAACTGGGATCTTGTGAATAGAAGCCTCCAGTAGCAGGTTTCCCTAAAGATCTGAAGAATCGTCTCCATGTATCTCGGAGCTTCCCGCTGGGTTCACGGATGTTTGTCATGCATGTAAATCACTTCCGCACGAGTTTGTGACACCTGGGGGCGCGTGCTGTTCACAGTTATAATCAGTAAAGAGCGCCTTACGTCCTTCAACTCTCTGCTCCTCTCCAGATGTGAGTTTGAGTGCACGAATTCAAAGCAAGAAGGAATAATCTGAAAATTATTCCTTAATTGGTTTTAAATGTAAAAACTAATAACTCCATGTTATGATTTTGTTAATCTCGATGTCTGCTTATTTGCTGGATGATGTCCATCCAAAAATATTCACTCCCTTCTATCTCTTCTATCTCAACTACATTTGATCCAGTGATAACAAAACAGATACAATGAAATCCATTTCATTTTGTGCGTAAAATGTGCCATATCCGTGCGTAACGTTGGTTCGCCTCTTGGTTGGACATGAAATAAGAACAACTTAAATCAGCAGTATAGACATGTGATTCTTGCTTTTGGATCCACCAAAGCATAACTTTATCCACAACCTTTAGCAGCAGTTCAACACATTTGCATGTCACCTGCCGGAGAATGCGCGTCGGGACGTGGGAAGGATTAGCACCTCTCTGTGTGCCAGACTTTTGTCAACGACCTACCAGTTTCAGCAGCTAATAAAGCTGTAAACGAGACGCTGTTTTCCCAGTTCCTATGAGAAATTCACGTTTTTGTAATGATTAAAGGAGACCGAACTGTTCAGGCAACAGAAATAATCTGAAAACATAAGTCATAGAATAATTGTCCAATGGCTTAATCAAGTTCTGTTCTTTTTACCGTTGAAAACGTTGGTTCAAATAACAAACATGCAATAAAACCTTTGTAAGATTTACTGTAATAACGATATAAAAAGTGATTTTATTTCATGTTTTTTCTGATGCTCGGTCGACCAACAGATGGCGCTGTTACACTGTTCATTTCTTTGCAGTGGCAGAATTTCTGAAACTTTCCAGTTAGATCTAAGTCAGAGCAATGCATGGAGGGAACACTTCAGTCACATTTCAGTTTGTGATTTATAGCTTCAGAGAGAAAGAAAAGTTAAGTTTTGTGCATTTTCAAGGTACATTTTGTGTTTTCTGCAACATAACAGCCTGAGCAGTTTAAAAATGAATGACTGTTTCCCCAGCTTTATGTTTACATCCAGAAAAATATATCTTTGTAGAGCTGTGGCTGTTTTTTACAACCTATAAATATTCATACTTATCTAAATATTTATAAGCACTGTTGCTTTGATATTCTGTGTACACTATATCTCAATATTTATACCAACTTACAATGTCATGTTATAATAACATGCATGCTGAAATATTTAATAAAATATACCTGATCAAGTCTTTTTGTTTTTACATTTTAACAGACATATATAAGTATTATCTTATTTGCTTAACAATGTAAACATTAATATTCATCTTGTAAATGTTTTAAATAACCATTTATACTCTCCATTTAGTTTGAGCCCCTTTAAATTTGTCTAGATCCAAAAATGTAACTAGTTTAACTTTCATAATGAAAGATTTCGACCTCATAAACTATAATTTTTGCTCTTTTTTATAAGGAAGATCTGTGTCTGCACACTATTTGTTTGCATAGCAATTCAAGCATGATAGAAACAGTGATGTAATGTAGAATATTCAATAATTTTTTTTTTTTCCCTCACAATAATGCTGTGGCGGTATTTTCATTTAGAAATGAAAGTGAAAGAAGAAAAGCTGTTGGGACGATTTGTGGAATATTTTTAGGTTTTGACGCAGAGAGTTGGGAGGTGAAGAGCAGAGTTTCAGTCTCAACGTGACTCAAACCTTTCAGTTAGTGAAACTTGATATGCAGCAGGAAACAACATGGAGCCCAAACCAAAAAATAAGGAAACATCTAGAGTGCAAATAAACTCTCCCAAAGGTAGAATCTGTTTAAAAACATGGGAGGAATAGAGATGTATCTATTTTCTTTATATATACATTAAAAACTTTATCATCAACTCAATTTTATTTACAAGGAAAGTAATCTCACAAAAGGGGTGAAAAGGTAAAAATAAAACCTCCATTTATTAAGAACTGTAGTTTATTATATAAGCTGTTTTTTTCTAGGTGTATTTTCCCTGAATCATCTCAGGGAAACTCTCTCCTTTACCTGACTGTGACGCACCTGCTTATCACTGCTTATTTACGGTAAGATCCTTTTACAACCCGGTTATAGCGAACAGGTATTTCTGTTTCAGGAAATGGGTCACAAAGAAAGAAGGTGTGGTTTGTCAGGGATAAAGAGAGACAGCTATGCAAAATCATGTTTAGACCTGACGGACCGTCTTCCCTTCAACAGCAAAAAGGTAGGAGAAGATCAATACCCGCATGTTTAGGACACATGTTGAGAGAACAGTGGATTTAGTTTATAGTTCAGTAATTAAGTGTTTTAGATATTATTGTTGCTGTAAAACTCAATCTGGCCATTTTGTAAATGAACTCTGTTAGAAATTGTGTCTTCTCACTTTCATAAAACACAGATCAGCACATCAGCTGTCCTGTGACAAACTTTCCATTTCTGGGTTTCCCAGTTTGTCTGCATTCTTTATGTTTAGATGCACGACTGACTGTGTGCAATTTGCCCCATGAGACTGAAGATTAGTCCATCAGTATTTATCAGGGCTGATCTTATTTACACAACATGCAAAGATCTGGTTTCTGTTTCCCAGATGAAAAGCTTGACAACAATTTTATTTTTAAAATTTCTTTTGTTTACGTACTTTATGCTTGTGAACATTATTCTTAATGTTTTACATATTTCATATTCACCTAATTTTGAAGGATTGTTTATTTAAACAAAAGTAGCTCAGGAAGATATTTGAACTTTATTTCCTTCTGTGTAGTTCCACAGAAACTCTGAACCTGTTCATCAGCAATGACACTCCCTTCTTAAGAAATCTGCTCTGTCAGCATATCCTAGAGTGTATATAATCAATGAATTATTAACAGGATGAGTTAATCATTTATTCATTTACATTTAGAAAATATCATTGTGATTGAAGACTTACAAATACTGTTTGGACTCGAGGAAAATTTTCACAGAAATATTTTGAGTTTCTGAGGCAAAAAAAGAGCTGACGGAATAAAAAACTTTAAGTTTACATCTTAAAGTTGTAAAGTTTGACTTCGAACTTAAAGTTTAGATCAGAAAAATGTGGAAATGAATGAGATAAATTACTATCTCAAACAGATGGCATTACAGTAAATGCATCTGGACAATAATAGAATAATTTAAAATTAACAAAGGCTAAAGAAAAAGTTAACTGTAATGTGAATATTTATTTTACCTAAATTTGGTTAGGAATATCTAATGGCAAAAATTATAACAACTACCAAGCCAACATATGTGAAGCCGTTCCATGGATGAGGGTCTGGATGGCTTTTGTGATTAAATCAGATCTAATCAATATGTTGGGTTAAGACCATTGATGCTATGGGATGAGAGTAACACAGACTCTGTTTCTGGTCTCCATCATCCTTCAGCTGAATGTTGTGGCAGCTCCACGGTCAAATGTCCGTATCCGAAATGTCCACTTGATTCTGTTTTTATGAAAAATATCCTGAAAATTCCTGAAGGCATTGCCACCACTACATGAATGCAGCTTTTCCGCTTTCACAGCATGTATTTCAATTTACACAGGAAATTACATCACAGTAGAACATACCACAGCATCAAAACATTGAATCAAATGAGACAGTGTAGCTTTCACCACATAGTACTCAGTCCACCTCCCTAGTCAGAGTAGTGCATGAGGTTTTAATGGTGCTGCTCTGTTTTACCTCTCCTGTCTTGCCTGTTCCTCCAGCATGGCGTGGTCCACAGCAACACTCGCTAAAGGCTGCTTTGGGAAAGTCTACCGGCAAAATTACAATGGTACCTGGGCTGCAGTGAAGAAAGTCCCCCAACATCTCATCGATAGGAAAGATTTGGAGAGAGAATGTGAAGTTTACAAGTAAGGACAAGATTATGAGTTATAAAAAACACATGCAGCCTCGTTTTTTTCCCCCTCAGGGGTCGAGTCATGCATCATTTACTGTCATTAACTTCTTATCATGATAAAAAAAAAAAGATAATTGTCATAATAAATTCCAGTTAATCATGCTTCAAAAAAACTGTTAATTTTACTGTTTTCTCCACTGTTCAATGAAAGCATAAAAATACAAATACATTTAAAATATAGTTAAATACAGTTACTATGAGCAGATTAATGTTACATATCACTCTTCAATGTGACTGGTGTCCAGAAGAAGCATATTAGGAATGTTTTTCAGAGAAATATTTCTGTTTGTGGGGCTATAACTAAAGTCAAAGCCATGCAGGTATAAAAAAAGAAGCAATAAACAATATTTGTGACATTTTATTTAGCTGGACTGAGGAAAAATGGCTCCTTGTCTTGTAAAGGTTGCATACTCCTGCACCTTGCAAAACCAATCAGTGTTTTATCACATAATAACCATAAACTTTCTTGACATTTTATATGGCAGACCATTACACAGTGGTGCATAATTGCACTATAGAAGGAAAATAAAACATGATTTCAAGTTTACAATATTCAATATTGGCTTTTTCTTTTGCTGAACACCCTGAGCTCAGGCAGAGTGGATGGAAATTGTTTCTGAACATCAGTTTTTACGGATGCACCTTATATCTGTGTCAACATTGTTATTGACTGACATCAGTCATTTTATAACAACTCTGTAAAAGTCTGATCAGTAAAAATGAGTCCAACATTTGTGTCCATGGTGTGTTTGTTTTTCAGGAGCAGCAGGGATTAACTGTTTGTTCAGTCATGTGCCAGTGATAGTGACGCAGCACGGCGCTGTGGGATGTTTGAATGAAGGAGGGAAGCCATGCCGGTGTTTCATAGTGATTCAAGTGTGAAGAAATACACACAGTTTAAATATAATATCAGCAAACATTGATTATTGGCAGTAACATTAGTATTTAAATTGGAAAACGATATCGATGCATCAGTTTTTGAATCTCGCCTCAGAATATCTGAACAAAAGTGGACTCTGTTTGTTGATTAATGGTTGTGCTGCATTTTAAGTAAAAGTTTTAGCTTTAAACTGGTAAAACAATTTGATAATTGTTTTTCCCTTCAGCTTCTCTTCTGTGCAATAATTTATGAGCCAGATGATTTCCTGCCCTGTTATCAGAGAATGTTATGATTTTCTTTGATTTTTAATCTTCTGTTTCTTCTTTTCTGCTCCATTTGTTCTGCAGCAAAGCAGAACATCCCAACATAGTGAAGCTTCTTGGCAACATAACGCTCACTGACGGTAAATGGATTATTCCACTGGAGTTTATATTTGGAGAGGATTTGGAGACAACTATTTTCCAGTCAGCAAAGTCCAAAATACAGGTAAAGATACTTTGAAAACAAAACAAAAAAACATACCCAAGATTGTTTTATGTCATTCAGTCACACACTGCTGCATCCTGATTGCACAAAGAAGCATTGTCATAGATAACCATTTATTACCATACTGACATTTGCAGAGTTCTTCTACTTATATCTATATTTTGTGCATTTCACATATAATTTTATGGGTTTTTCTTTAGTCTCTCAGTGACCAACACTTTCAAATTGCGTTCTTCAATCCTAAATTTCTTTTAGCCTCAAGAGAAATACAAATGTGACACAAAATAAAAACATCTTACAGGAATTAGATTCTGCCTTTACTATAAATTCCTGATCTAACAGTTTGTGTTCTTAAAACTGTCTTTATTTTATTGCTTCACTTTTGAAAGAAGAAGGTGTGTCTTGCTTCACCACTAGTTTGCATGTCCTGGCAAATTCACATATCATTCATCCAACATGCAGCTATACTTTGGCCTAAAGGTAACATTGGTTTGAACTTGATCTTCCTCCTTTTTTCAGTTGACTGCATCAACTAAAGCTACCATCGTTATTGGTATGTGTGAGGGGTTGATGCACCTCCACCTGAACGACATCGTCCATCAAGATCTCAAGCCTGAAAACATCATGGTGAGTCGACTCTAAGATCAGTGAAACATGAACACAGAGCTGTACAAAAGGAGGCGGAGCAAATACATTTTGTGATTACTGTAATTGGTAAGAGAAATTTAAAACCCAGAATTACTGTTGTGTTTTTTAACCTATTTCAAATTTTATTGAAAACTTGAACTACAATATAGTTCTTAAATAATTCCCTATTTTTAGCATCGTTCAACAGAATGAAGTGATTTAATAGTTTTGTAAATGTCCATTTTGAAAATCTGATATTGCATCATATGTCAGATAAAAGAGAGCGAAGGAGCCGCTGGACTGTTATTCAAAGAGGAAATGCAAAATTAAATACAAACACAACTGCCTTATTAATCTGGCAGAAAAAGCAACCTCCAGGTGGCAGAAAGTTGTAAAGCAAATATGATCTTTGGAGATAAACACAAAATACCACTGAAGTATTATCAGAGTATTTATTGAGAGAAGTAGCTAAGGAGACTTACAAAACTGGCACCCTCAAGAGAAATCTTAAAAGCTTTCTTTAATGCGTGCAGGCCACCTAACAAAAATCTGGAGCTAAATTTATTCAGATTCTGCTGTAATTTCTGCAGCAGTTCTGATCTGCACTGTTACTCTGATAAGTGTTACATCAAATACTACTAAAAAGAAAAAACAAAACAAAACAACAACAACAAACTTTATGCTAACAAACACAGAAAACCATAAATAAAAAATTCCTATGACAAGAAATTTTTCACAATGAGATAAATGCCCACCCTGGTTTATAACTTATATTTAGAGCTTCAAATTAAAGTTCAAGTAATTACTTAAATACTCTCAGGGTAGTTTATTTTTAAGATTATAATATTTTTGAATGCATATGTAGCTTTTTCACCAAAGTTTATTGTAATGTTATAAACTGTATTTTTCATCTCATGAAGGCATTTTTAATTGAATTGATTTAATCAATTACTTTCTTTACTGTTTCCTGTCAGGTGGAGCATAACACAAACAGAGCAGTCATCATTGACCTGGGACTGGCAAAGTTTTTCAGACATGGCCTGAACTCAGCCATAGACATGGGGAACGAGGCGTACTCACCTCCAGAGGTTCTCCGGTGGCGAAGCCAGCGAAGTCAGCGTTCAGATGTCTGGGCCATGGGGAAGATCATCGCTGAGCTCTATGCCCGGGTCCGCCTCCACACGCCCTCCGTCTGTCCTGATAAAATCAAGGAGACCATGAAAGGTCAGCCCTACTGTGACACCGTGTGCAAGATGGTGGAGCCAGACCCCAGACAGAGGGCCTCCATGGCTAGCATCATAGACGAAATTCGAGTAACTGGAAGAGCTGAAGGAGGAAGCAGTACGCCGCTTAAAAAAGACCTCCTGAAGACACCAGCAGGTGGTCAGGGCGCCAGACCCAGAACCAGATCTGCATCACCATTAAGAATGAGGGGAAATCAGTTACCAGGAATCAGAGAAACTAAAGGGACAGATCTGTTTAAATGGGAGCGGACCCCCAGACCACAAATCAAACCTCCGCGTGCCCAAATTGGATTGCCCAAGACTCCCATGACAAAGCTGGCAGAGAACAGAAACAGACAACAAGCTGCAGGCGGGGCAAACTTGTCGGCCGATCTCATGAAGCTGAAGTTAGACCACAAAGCCGCGAAGGACCTTCCCAACAAGTTACCGCACACGGGCCAGATAAAGATCCAGCGTGTTGAAAGGAAAAACGGGAAGATTGAAACGTGGGAGCAGACTGTGGTGACTCAGGATGGAAAGATTATCAAATATGATGATGTTATGGTTAACAGCACATAAGATATTTAGGCTTGAAACTGTTATGAATCGATTATTGAGATAATCATAATAGTTGATTCAGAGGTCAAAGGTTATTAATCTAAAACTGCACAAAATGAACACATTTGTATTTAAGACAAAAAAAAAAAATAACATTATGTGTCTAAATATGTTCAACCCAGAACTTCATAAAAGGCTGTTTTAGCTTCTCCCGGTTAAAATGTAGTAAAAACAAAAGATAAAACCATCTAAAATCTTCCATTAAGCATCATTTGCTACACAGTTATCAATCGGTTAATCAAAAGAAAGACTGTGGATCAGGTCTGCACTGTTTTGATCTGAAGTCGAGCAGAAAGACCTGAGATTTTCACATTAATGTTGGAAGTATCTTTTTTAGCTGTGTTTGCATCTTTTGATACAAATTATTGGATATTCACTATGCATGCTTTGTTGTTGTATTTTAGGCAATAAATTATGTTGTATTTAAAAATAAATTGAATTATTTGTATTTTATAATGCATTTCCAATGTTATTTAAAACAAGCTTACACGGTTAAATGGAAAATCTGCAGAATGTGTAAATCTTTTTAGCAGATTAATCATCAAAAATATTAATACAATAATTGATAACTAAAATAATCATTAGAATCAGACCGAAATATCTTCAAGACAATCTGTATCTTTAAGGACAATTGAGTTTAAAAAAAGAAAATAATGCAAGTGAAGCTTTTCCATTAAATGTTTCTCAGAAACAAAAATGTAACATGTGAGGAAAAAATGTTTACAATATCTGCAGCCTTTTTATGACACGATGATGGTTTATTGAAACACAACCAGTAAAAGATCTGGACATAAAACAAGGGAATTGCTGAAGAGGAGGAAACACGTCTACATATTTCTACCATTCAGTCTGTATAATCCTCCACAGTGAGCCTAATGTTGGTGGAAAGAAAAAAAAACTAAAATATGTCTTGGGATCTTTTTCTCCTCAGTAAGAAGCTATAATTTTCATTTTCATTTTCTACGTGTTTTTTTCATTGATCAGCTAAACGTGTGACCTTTGACTCTTTTGCGTTTTATTCATCGTCTCTCATCTAAAACTTGTTCTGCTGTTAGTTTTTTCCATTATCATACCTGGTATTTTTTTTATTGAGTTCATGTGTAGATGATTCAGCTTTTCTGAATAAATGTAGTTTCGGTTTGACTTACACTTAACTTGTGAAACCTGTCAAACCTGACTTGTGTGGTCAGAAATCCTGCTACTGGTTTTGGACTAAAGTTAACTCTTTCTTGGCATCTAGAGATTTACTCCCCAAAAATAAGTTTATGACTTGATAATAACTTTAATTTCTTTTAAAATAGTCAAAGATTTTCGCCAGATAGTCTTTGTGATGTTTTTTAAAATTTGGTCATAGTATGCCCTCTACTGGATTGTATGGTGAACTGCAGTTTCTCCTCGCAAAATTATTCACACTTTTTACACTTTTTGTCTTTTTACAAACACAAACTTTAGGGTTAGGCTATCACATGGTTTGACTTATTATGTGACAGAACAGAAAAAAAAATCCTCACAGACAGACGCTCTCAATCCAGTTTGACTGAGCCTGAGCTATTTTGCCTGAAACACAATAGATAGAAGTTTCAGTCTTTAGAGGTGTGCCTCTGTAGTCACACCTCTAAAGACTTTCACTGCAGGAGGTTTGACAAGGTTCAGAGGATTAAATATAAATACATGCAACACCTTAAGAATTGTTCTATGCAAAACAAGGAGATCAGGTTTTTTTTCCTTCAATTTCACAATTTAGCCCGACTTAGTCACATGGAATCTAAATGAAATGCATTAAATTTAGACGGTAATGCCACAAACTGAGAACAACTTAAAAGTCTAAATACTTTCATTTAGACTTCTATGTTTTCTTTGTTATTATAGCTGGCAGAATATCATTATCACTTCTAATTTTTCTCCTAGTCAGGGTAGGCAGGGCAAACCCTGGATGCCACTGTCTTGCTCCCCATTTCTGTTTTTATTTGTATTTTTTCTGCTGCTTGTTCAGTTATGGACTAAGAGAAGCATTGGAATTTCTTCTTTTAAAGCAAAAGCGCGACCGGCCATCATGTTGCATCATCTTCAAACGCAGTGTTCAATAAGGTCGCGCCGGTCGTTCACTCAGCTGTGTAACCCGGGCCCGATCGGCTGCACGATAGGCCTGATGGGTAACAAGGGGGTGAATCATAGAGCTTCCTGGGACAGAAAGGCTGCACAAACACACATCTTTATGCTGTGATTCACACATTTTCTTTTTTCTCCCAGCACACACAGACTTTTCACATATTCCCTTTATTATTTATACATTCATGAAATCAGTGGAGACCTAATTGCTAAATATATGTATGTGTGCATAAATACATATAAACAGAATGATATATGACACAAGGTTCATGTTTTCAGGGTTTAATAGCTCTCTCTGAAAAAAATCTAGCATAAAAATTTTAAATGTTTTTCTTTTGGAGCTGAATTCATAATCATTTAAAAGCCAAAGCGTTTCTGATATACACCACAGTTTGAAGCGAACGCACTCCTCTGCTGGTGGGGCCACTAAGGTTTCTTGATGTCTTAATGCATGAAAGACATGGAGAAACAACATTGAAATATATGCAGGAATTTGAAATGACTGAACTGAGAGAATGATTTAAACTGATAAACAACTTGCACATCTAATTGATTGCAAGTTTCTGAGTATTAAAAACATAAAAAAGTATTTTATTAATTAGTAATCCAAGAAATTTAATCGTCAGTGAGGTTTGGTTAGATCCAGATCAGCATTTTAATTTTTTATGTCACTTCTAAATTCCCAGAGGTGATAAACTTGGTCCAGTGTTTCTGTGTTTAACCGGGTCTCTTTTCTGAACAATGTCTTCAAAAGAACTGCTGCTGCTGAAATATGAGTTTTCACTTTGGTTTTTACTCTATAGTTTGCGCTACTGACTAACAGTGTCTGTTAAACTGTAAAGCCACCAACAGGGGTGCCATTAATCATCATTAATCTAAAACGTCCTCCTGTGTCTGGATCATCTTCTCACTTCCAGGTTGTCTTGTCTTGAATGACAGCTGCTTCTTTGTACTATCACCACATTCTTGCTCGATTTGATGCTACTGTCTGAGTTTTCTCAGACAGATTCCTTCTTTCTTTTAAATGAGGATCAAATTACTTTATGTGCAAATTGAGCTGAAGATTTGGGATATATTGAAATTAACAAGATTGAGCTGGACAAAATTTGCCCCAAATAAGATTCCATATAAATAATTTTAAATTAGACCTGATAGACCTTAAAGCAGGGGTATCAAACTCCAGTCCTGGAGGGCCGGTGTCCTGCAACGTTTAGATGTGCCCCTACTGCACCACACCTGAATAGAATAATCAGGCCATTAAGGCTCTGGAGAACTTATCTGCACAAGGAGGAGATAATTAAGCCATTTCATTCCAGGGTTTTGTACCTGTGGTACATCTAAAAACTGCTGGACGCCTTAAAGAGACATAAATGTCATAAATTTATAATAATATTACAATAATAGTCTAGAAAATAGCATGCACTGTCACTGGAAATGACTTCAGACTGGGAATAAAATATGTTGCACACTCACACCGAGTGTGGACCAAATTCACAGCTGATTGGACACATCTCCCTCTGGATCGGGTGTCTGCGAGAAAGTGTCAAATCGAAGTTCATCCTCCACGCCTTCACATCCGCTCTCACTCAGTCGATCAGGCGTGTACTTCAGATGCCTGATGTGACAAATGTGGGCAAGTGAGGAATGCGAGCTGCGTTCACCGTCTTTATCACATCACTGTGTGTCTGTTCAAACTGCTCGCCAGCCGTCTGTCTTCTCTTATCGGGCAGATTTGACATTTTTGCACCCAGATCCTTCTCAGTCTGCTCCTAAACATCTAGCTTCAGGTGAAGCTATTGTTGATAAGCTGCTTAAGTGTTTGGATGAGCAGAGTGTTCATATTTAGCTGCTTTGCTGAAATGATTAATTATATTAATCGTGATTAATTGATTATTGAAATCATCATTAACTATTTAGAAATGATTGATCATTAACTGGAATATACAGACTCCAAAAATTGCCATTTGCTGAAAGAATAAAACACTCAGAGCAGCAATTAAAACAAAAATGTACAAAAAATATATACGTTTTGCATTTCAGATGAAAATCTTTGTCTGTAAATATGTTCTGCATAAAATTCCTCAAATGGTGGTTCAACTTCAGCAAACAAACAAACAGAACAAAACTTTCTGTTAAGTACCTTTTGCCATAAAAAAGCATCAAACAATTGCTTTCAGCTGAAAATGCATTCTTCTCTACAAATGATCAAGCACTAAAGGAACTTTGAGCTATTGAAAATTAAGCTGTCCAATTTCTTTGTTTTCTTATTTATGAAAGGCGGTGAATTATTTGCTTATCTGAATCTTTAATTTATTTTTAATATTGTGAAAAAAAGGCTTTAGTGGTTAAGTGAAAAATCAGCAGAAAGTGCCAAATCTTTGATACGACTAATTGATTAATCGTCAAAATAACCGATAGAATCATAATTAATTTCAGCTCTAATGGACACATGGTAACATAGAAAACATGAGAACTTCAGTTTTTATATATCTATCCTGAGTAAAAATGGTTCTAGTTTACAAAAGAAGTTTAAAATTTCCTCTCTTTTGACGTTTCCAGTGACTCAGTGAGCAAAGTGTTTGGTTCATATCGACTCCTGCCTCCTGTTTATATCTTCTGCCAACTCTGATTTAATCTGGTGTGTTATTAGATGTTTTAGGCAGAAAGAAATTAGAAAGGAAATGTATTTACAGCAAAGAATTAAAGCTGTCAGGAGTAGTTTCATAAACTCAGTCACAAGTTCTGTTCAAATCTTTGTGATCGTGGATTCAAAATGGCCTCCAGGCTTGATGCTGCCACCTTACTGAGGATGCTGTTCTCTCACATTACCTTCCTATTCTGCTCTGCATTTAACTGTTGTGGCTTTTGGTCATATTATTCAATTCAAGAACACAAATTTGACTTTTTATTTTTATTTAAGGAAAAAATCACAATGAATTAAAATATTTTGACAGTTGTATTTATTGGCTAGATCAAAAAGTACTTTATGTTTATAATTTATACTCATTCTGTAGGATTTTTGTGCTAATTTGGTGAAGATTTTTACATTTATTCTGTAAGTTTAACACTTGAGGACTGCATAATTCGATTTCAATTGTGTAAAACTTTCGCTAAACAAAACAAAACATACATTTATTCTGTGTCCACTATATGTGAATAACAAAAAGACAAAGAATTTTCCTCTGAAGAACCAAAATGTTTTGCTTTCTCCTGCAAATTTTGTATTTGTGTAACTTTAACTCAAAAGCAAACTTTGCTTTGTATCGAGAAACTTTAAAAAATGTCTCAATACAGGAGGACTTTTTAAGGAAAGGGTGACCTAAATGCTTTTCTAATTACTCA